AGCCGAATTACCATCTGCCAAAGGTGTCGTAGAAAGAATTGCTGCGATAAATGAGAGGCCCCTTCTCACCTGGGGATTATATATACACACACATATATATATATGTATATGAATGAAATTTTATTTGACAAAACATAGTTTAAGCTTCTTAGAACAGTTTTTGTTCTGTTTTTATTTTATTTTTGGTAGATTTATGCAACGTATTTGAGCAGTTGTTGAGTGTTTGGTGCTGATGATACAGAGGGATCAAAACAGAGGGTCGCTGTCATCACTTTTGATTTCCTTCCCAATCAGTACCTGCTCATTCATCAGAATTGTGCCATAAGAGCTGAAAATAGTGTATATACGATCTGGTCTTTGGGGTCTGTGAAGGCTTCCTTTAGGAAGTGATTTTAAGTTGAACTATAAAGAACGAGTTGTACATACTTTGGTAAGGGAGAAGAGGGAATAGCCTTTACAGGGTCCCTGTGGTTAGAGTGACTGGCAATTTGAAAACCGTAGAGAGGTCCTATGTATTTGGAAATAAGCCAGACTGGAGTGTTGAGGGGAATGTCGGCAGGAGTCAAATCATGTAGTGCTTTGCTGACCCTGTTAAGGATTTTAGTTTTTCCTAATAGTGTGGGAAACTATCAGAGGGTTCTGAGCGGTGCACTAAAACAAACCAAATATTTTTGGTAGCTATATGGATATTAACTTGTGCAGATAAAGAAGGTATTACAGACTCTGTATACAGACTGATTAGGAGGCTATTGTAGTGGTTCAGGCTTAGACTAGGGTATTAACAGTGAGGAAGGAGAAAAGTGAAAGGATTGGAGAAAACTTAGAAAGTGAAATCAACAGAACTTGGTAATGATTTGACTTTAGTGAGTGAGGGAGGAAAGGCTAAGAATGACCCTTAGGCTTGCTTAACTTCATGGATTAGGACCAGGGGACAAAAAAAAAGATAACAGGAATTGTAATATAAAGTGTCATAAAACAGCAAGTAGCAGAATCAGTATGCAGATCTAGGTTAAATTCTTAACTACTTTTATGCTATTTCTCAAAGGAAAGACTGATGTTAACTTCAGGGAGCTTGCATAGACACACATAGTAGTAAAATATTAAGTACACACTAGGTATTGTAGGGGCATAAAAAAATAACTTTCTTCCCATCTTTTAAGTTCTAGGTGGGCTAATCAAATTCATAGAGGCAGATTAACAGGAGAAAATGTACAAAGTTTATTACAGATGTACATGCCAGGGATATCATAGATATGAGACCTGAATTGAGCAGTTGAAGATTAAATGCCATGATGGACAAAAGAGAAGGCAGGGACAGGGGTCTGAAATTTCTAAAGGAAAATAGGCAATTCATAGGTAGCAGAGAAAGAGCAGAACACATGGCAAACAAATTCCTTCTAGGCAACCTGGAAATAATGGGGGAGAGGGCAGGAAACAAGCTTTGCTAGATTTCTGTCTGTCTCAAATGTGCTAAAGTGAATATGCTAAGATTATGCTAAAGTTCCTTTTCTAAAGCAGGTTTTTCTATCTTAATCTCTTTAGGCAAGAAAAAATCTAGAGAGGTAACAAATTCTTTGAGTCTTTTGTTTCTTAATAACCAGCTTAAAAATTATATTCCAAAAGGCACATTTCGAGGGGTGGCAAATCATTGGTTCCCCTCAGTATAGATAGTGCTGGCTGAGGGGGAAGGATCATCAGAAGTTTACCTGATGGGGCTGATGTTTGCTCTGAGTCTAGAAGGATAAATAGGAGCTATTCTACAAGATAGTAGAGGGAGAAAGGACATCCTAGGCAAGTATGTAATGTTTGTAAAACCTAATTCTAGCAGGCCTGAAATTAGCCTGAGCTGGCACTGCAGTGCATTAATAGTGTTGCTTTGTAACTGAGTCTCAGGACTCTAGGAGAAGTTTCTACCAGTTTTTCAGCATTGTTAACAGGGAGATTGATGATTTACACCTGGTCTCTGTGAGACCTTTCAAAGGCTTGGTATTAAGACTGATTACATAGCAGGAATAGGCTTATGTGACCAGGAATATATAAAAAACCCAGCTAAGACTCTTCGGGGCTCCCTGGTTCCAAAGTGTTCCTTTATATACTTGGTGAACTGAGACAGTATTGTGTCTGGCCACAGCACTCACAGAGGGAGGACAAAGGAGCCAAGACCTAACCTTTCCTAACCTCTTATGTAAGACAACTTTTGGCTGTGATGTTTTTATATTGTATTTTCCTGTAATAAGCTAGATTTGTAAGTGTTATTATTTAGCAAACAAACCTTGTTTAACTTGCTACTGTTAGTACAGGTGTGAAACAAAGACATCTGGCAGTTGGTATTTTTGGAATAAAAGAGGTGTAAAGGTATAAAAGAGGTGCTCAGGCTACCTTGAGGAGGTACAGGTGAGTAGTTTGCCATTGTTAACAGGTTTGGATTTTTCTGTTTGGGAAATCAAAAGGGGATTACCAAAACAGGATTATCGAAAGGTCCACCTCCTTAGGAAAATGTACAGAGAGGGGTGCTACTGGCATCTAGTAGATAGAGACCAGAAATGCTGCTAAACATGCTAAACATGCTAGAATGCACAGGGCAACACAGTCCCCTACAATGAAGAATTACCCAGCCCAAAATTACCTTACTAGGTTCAGAAACTCTTGGTTAGAGGGAGGAGAGATTGGGTTTGTAGGAAGACCTTTTAGGAAGTTGTGGCAATAGTTTTGTGTGGATTGTGGATTAGGAATGGAAGAGATGGGATGAACTTTTGAAAGGCAGTAACATCAAGAGATTTCTGTGATTAACTGGACAAGTAGAGACTCTTTCTTTGGGGTGATTCCCAGTTTCTATCTTACATTACCAGACAGGTTGTAAAGGGGGACTTTTATCTGAAATGAGATTACTTGTTTTACAATTTGATGGAAGAAAAGTGACATGATTATCATTTCTGGTGCTGTTCAGTTTGTATGTATGTAATTGATTATTCAGAGTACAATGGTCAGTACAAAGAATTGGGTATATAATAATGAAGTCATTATTTTCACAGGGGGAAGAAAAGTTGTTGACTTTTGAGGGGAGGGTAGAGGCCCAATTGATAAGACATTTTTATGTCAAAATACCTATTAATATTTACATATTTTTATAATTTCATAAGTGCATAATTTTCATTTAATTATCAAAATGATCTTATAACATAGTTCAATTATTTATCATATCTCTTAAGTGGAAGAAGGTCACATAAGTAACTGATCCTTCTTTCAAGTCCAAAGTTTGATCTCTGTGTTCTACAGATCTAGAATTGTTAATAGGCTAACCAAGAGTGTTCAGGCTTGAAAATACAGGCTGGTGCTACTCACATTTGTTGGGATTGGGGATCCATGAAACCCAGTATCTCTTCCTCATCACTTTTTTCTCAAGTAGATTCTCCTGTCTCCTCTCCCTCTTTCCTTCCACTCACTTCTTTCTCGTATAAGGGGGACTTTCTCCTCTTTAATCCTTTTTACCTTTTCTCTCTTATGCTTATTTAGTTACTTCAGGAAAGTCTCCCTCCTCTTGTCATTTGTACAACCCAAGTGGCCCAAGTTGTCACTAATAAGCGTAAGCCCTTGAAAATAGCTCCAAAATCCTCTTTAGAAACATTTCAACTACCACTGGCTTTCCTTTCAATATGCTTGCTCTTAAACATACACTTTCCAGATAAAAGATTTTTTTGTGTTTGTTTTCGTGTCTTATTTTGTTTTTGCTTTAATCATTACTGTATAAACAATGTCGTTTCATAGTTTATGTTTCTTTTAGAAACAAGTTTGTAAATGATAATACTCTTAGAACAGCCCACAAGTCTATTCAATTGATAGTGTAGTTCAAAACAAAGTATGTATTAAATTCCATCTTACTGACCTATAAAAGAATTTAAGCACAACCTATTTGTAATTTGGCAGTAAAATGAGTTTAGTTCTATAATGAAGTATTCTTATGCTAAGGACTGACCTTCTTTACTACTTCACTATATTATTCATGTGTGTGCTTGGATGGTACAAATAGACAACTAGGTGAGAAAATTTGGGGAAGGGAAATATGTAACACTGAGCTTGAGAGTCAAGAGTATGACTTCGGAGTTCAAGTTCTGCCTCTCTTACTAGATGAGTAATGTTGGGTAGGTTGCTTATCTTAACTCAGTTTCTCAGTTTGTCAGAGGAAGGAAAATTCCCTCTTGTAGTGTTATTGGGAGAAGTCATATAAGAAACCTACATTAATTAGAATAGTTGTCTGGCTAGTTTGCTAGTTCCCTTTCGCCTGTCATGAGGAAATTTGTTCATTTTTTATAAAGCTTTGGTTAAACTGAAATCTGCCAAGTTCCATCCACTGGTGAAAATCAAAAAAAGCAAAATTGTCCATAGCAGTAAAACCCTTAGCCTACAACCTTATTGTCATTTTAACAAATCTGATTAATTTCTAAAATTTGTTAGTCAAAATGATCTCTTCATTTTTTTTTCTCTTTATAGGTGATTACTGGAGGTCACTATGATGTAGATTGTCGATTAGAAGATCCTGATGGTAATGTGTTATACAAAGAGATGAAGAAACAATATGATAGTTTTACCTTCACAGCTTCTAGAAATGGGACATACAAATTTTGCTTCAGCAATGAATTTTCCACTTTCACACATAAAACCGTATACTTTGATTTTCAAGTTGGAGAAGACCCACCTTTGTTTCCTAGTGAGAACCGAGTCAGTGCTCTTACCCAGGTAAACACAAATTCAATAATATAATGTTGGTGTGTATAAAGGGAGAAAAAGTATAATTTAATACGCATCAATTCATCTATGAACACAGAATTTTGAGACTTTTACACAATATTTAAGATGTCTTAATTCTTTTAGTGAATCAGGCATTTTGCAGAGAACTTCAGACTTTTCATTGAAGACTAGCGTTAAAGGATTTTATGAACTTTTTAGTATAAAGAAAATAAAGAAGCATTAAAATAGGAGGATCACTTAGGTAGAAACATCAATAGCAAAGGAAATTTAGGAAGTCTAAACAGTGTTTTAGCATTCTGAAACATTTTTTGTAATTCATGGAGGAATGTTACTACCATAATTTAGCAAATTGGTGTAACTAGGTATATTGATGTAACTTGTTGTATGTATATACACATATATACACACACACCCCACAAGATGCTTTAATATATAAATATACTACAAGATGACTTTATACTGGTAATTATGTTACTCAAGCTTTTGTTAAATAACTTTTGTTGTAACTTAAGGTAAAATGTTAAAAGATTAATGGTAAATCATCTAATAAAAATAGAAGCTAAATTGAGTTTTATTTTGAAGAAGAGCTTAATGAGAGAAAATGAAAGAAAAAGTCAGTGAACAGATACTGCTCAGGTGATGAGAAGGGCTATTTTAGTTCTAGTTCAAATACAGCCTGAGCGTAGATTATATCCAAAAGATATTTGGGTATTCAAATGAATTATTTAACACCTACTTGTTAAAACCTTAAAATGATATTTCATTGTTCCCAGGTTCCAGGTAGTCTCTTAGTCACGTGATGATAGAGGATGTTTTTAAGAATGTGTAAGAGCCTAATTCATAAACTTTGGGCTTTAACAATATATATTTAAATGCTCATTTCTAGAAATGTTCTCTTTATTTTAGCATCCTGTATGAAACAGCACATTGCTTTGTAAAAACGATTTTCTTTAGGGCCATTGTTTATAATTTAACCTTCATGAATTTTAATTTGTATAAGGAGGTAGCTTTCTCTTAAAACCTAAGTAGATTAATTTAAGAAATGAGTTATAAGGGTTATAAAGCAATTAATGGTTATAATGGTTATGAAGCATTTATAAATGGTTATAAAGCAATGGTTAAAATGGTTGTAAAGCAATTAATACCACTTAACCTCCTTTATTCATACCACTTTTTTTATTCTTTCTCGGTTTTATTTTTCTTTCAAAAAGCAGATAAGTCTCTCATACAATAGAAATTCCCGTAAAGCAGTTGTTCGCATTTTGAAATTGAAAGTTGCCATCTAGTAAATGTAGAATAAATGATAGAGTTTTAATAAATAACCATGTTTTAACCATGAGTAAAGTGATGGGTCTAGAGTAGGCAGTGATCACCACTAAGTGCTAAAACTGTTAGGTGAAAGACTGATGAAAAGCTTTATAATGGATAGGTCAGCCTGATATCCCCCAAATCTAATCATCATTCACAAATGGAGCGATAAGTAGACATTATGTGTCTTCTGATAACAGGCGATAATGAAGTACGTGACATTGCCTATGAGGTAGTTCCACTCAGAACATTACACCTGACTCCCATCAAATCTCTAGCTCCAACTTCCAGTTTATAAGAAATACTAAGGGTAGAAGAATACCGTGGGCACAATCAGCAAAATCCAGGAAGTGGGAAATGCTATAGGATAGAGGCCCCAATTTCTTTAACAAGTAGCTGGGAAAAAAAGAAGGAAGAGAAACTTAAAGATTAAAGAAGACTTAAAAGACATATCAGCCAAATGATTGTGTTGACCTTGTTTTGATTATGATTTGTAAACTGCTTTTGAGACGTGAAGAAATTTGAACACTAACTTTATGTTCGGTAACTTTAAGGAACTATTTTTAATTGTTTTATCATTATAATGCTATTGGGGTTATATTTTTTTAAGCATTACCTTTCAGAAATAAATACAGAGTATAAAAGTATAGCTGAAGTGATAAAACATCTGGGATTTGCTTTAAAATAATTGAGGCATGGGGAAGAAAATAGATGGAAGAAATAGTTGGAACAGGATCAGCCATATATTAATAATTATTCACATGGAGGTTCATTGTACTAGTCTATATACTTTTGAATATGTATAAACATTTCCACTTTAAAAGTACAAAGAAAAAAAGGGAAACAATACCATCTCAAAAATTGTATTGAGTTCATGCAAGTAATCCCTTAATTTCATTCCCGGGGCCTAAATAAAGCAAGAATAGCAAAAATGTTTGAGTAATTCTAATAGGTAAATTCAATTTATAGATCTCATAATTTCTCATACTTTTTAAAAGTACCTTTAATGGAATATTTTTATAATAATTCCTTTTATACTTTGGTATAATTTTATTAAATGTTTGAATTATTTCCTAATGTCTGAATCTCTTAACTAAATTTTTTAAAAATTTTTTAACTAAAATGAAGACAAACTCACATTGTTTTTAAAATTCTTAATACTTGGCGTGTGATGTAATCTAAGTATAATAGAATAATAAAGCATGTATTTCATCACCAGCGTTATTTTCAGCAGTATAAAAATGTTAAGCTTTGTATGTAAAAAATTAGACATTTAACCCTTCTAAGTCAGATGGTATAATTATAAAGAGGTAAAGTGTCATCAGATGAAGGCTGATAAGCTGATTACACAGTGAAACAAATTTATATCCCATTGAGAACACATGTATTGGTTTAGTTGACTGGCATGAAGGAAAAAAGACTTACTTAGCAAATTGGTAAATGTAAGAAAAAAACATTTATTTTCAGATCCAATTCTTTTTTAGTTAAAATACTTTTGACTAACTCCATCTATTTTTATGCCATATTTGGTCTATTTTTGTATATATTTAGACTTCGATTTATAGTCTTATTATTGGTCAGATTTACTGATCTGCTATTCTCTTCCTCCTAATCCTTCCTTTTTGAGGACTCTGAGTTTGAAATTCTATAATCACCAACCTTAACTGATAAGTATTTCCGCTACTGTTAGCTTAGTGTTCCATATGCCAATGTACAGATGCCACGGGTGTGACCTTCTAGTTTGGAGAAAGCGACTGCTTCTTGGGATCTCTAGCCTTACCGGTTGTCCTAGTGTGAATGAGTATAAAGGTTGTACTGCTAGGACCACTGGCATAATGAGTGAATGAATGAGTGCCAGTTTAATAGAATGTTCATCAAATGAGGAATGAAGATCAAATTGAAAGAAAAGATGAGTATGCTTTTTAGATGGATTGTACAGAAAGTATTAAACTTACTCATTGGAAATATTTCTCTTTAGATGGAATCTGCCTGTGTTTCAATTCACGAAGCTCTGAAGTCTGTCATCGACTATCAGACTCATTTCCGTTTGAGAGAAGCTCAAGGCCGAAGCCGCGCAGAGGATCTAAACACAAGAGTGGCCTATTGGTCAGTAGGAGAAGCCCTCATCCTTCTGGTGGTTAGCATAGGGCAGGTATTTCTTCTGAAAAGCTTTTTCTCAGATAAAAGAACCACCACAACTCGTGTTGGATCATAACTACGTTTTGAGAATTGATGCACCATTGCAACTATAATATTGCTGTCTTCTAATTAATTAATTTTAGGTACTGAAGAACTTGATATTGGCAACATTTTCAAAACCTTATTCATATACTTGTTAGGGGGTTATGTACAATGCATAAACCCAAACAGTGGAAAGGACACCTTTTTTTATTTGTAAAGGTATAAAAACTTTGGAACTTATTTTGGGCTATTCATGTTAAATATTCAACACCAATGATCTGCTCTTTGTTGTTTATATCTACTCTTTGCACACTAAACTTTGGTATTTTGATTTAGCCATTTAAAAGTACTTTTCTTATAGGTAGTGGATACTTTAAAAACCTTTGATTTAATGTCTACATGTGTTGTGGAGGAAGAAAATTGCCTTTTGATTGTTTATAGTAAATAAGGATTTGTTTTTCAGAAATGCATATGTGATTAACTGCAGTCCACGCCCTATTCTGCACTGTTTAATTTTTATGGGGGAAGAATCTACAATAGAAATGTTTGTTGATATTGATATAATTTTAAATCGATACATCATGGTATAATTTATTTATCACTAGCTTGGAAAATGTCAGATTTTGGCAGGGAGGCAGTTTATTCTATGATTTATAACCAGATATGTTCTTTTTTTCTTAAAGACATTCTTCCACACAAAATAGTGTGTTTCAGTAACATCATAGGGTTTATATGGGCCTTAAAAATCAGATTGTCATGATAAAATAATTAAGAATAATTAAAGTCACTACAATGTCTTATAGTGGAGGGGCAAATGAGAAAATTTTTAGTGAGTTATCTGCACACACTACATTTTCAGTGCTTTTACAAAGAAAAAAGGTGATCTGTTTCATTTTAACATTTTATTGGCTGGTTCTTGCCCTTATGTGGCTTTAATGTCTGAGTCATTCCCAACTTAAAATGACAGTTGTAATATTAGTATCGTAAAAGTGCCATACATTTTATCCTGATTGGTGTGATACACTGAAAAATTAGTTTTTCCCTCCTTCCTTCCCTCCTTCCTTCCTTCTTTCTTTCTGTCTTTCTTTCTGTCTCTCTGTCTCTTTGTCTTGTACATGTAATTTGTACAGTCTCTGCTTAGCAGTCCTATAATTTAAAAATTTAGAATGCTATATGTGTTTTTTATTTGATAATCTTCATTGACTGTACTGCATTTAATGAATATTAAATAGTGCATATTCTGTACACTATAGGGTTTAGACTGTGTTTGTATTTTATAATTTGCGTAGATTAAGCTGATTGAAATAAGATTTTATTCCAGGTATTCTAGAGTAGAATACGAGGTGATGCAAATTGTATAGGTGGTTAAAGCTTTTCTGCCCTTTTAAAAAAAAATTTGCAACTGCTTTTTGCCGTGCCTATCTCCTTCACCCAGAAGTGATAAGTGCTGAACAAGACTCATTGTAGAGACTTTCTTATGTGGTACCATAAAATACTGATGGGATACTAATTCTAGTCACTTAGCACTACTGACTAGAAATAGAAGTTAACTCAACTCTAAGCTGTGTTAAAATGCATATATTTTCTACTGCATGAAAGCGAAAGGAATTCAAGTTGTCATGCTGGCTAGTTTCAAATGCTACAGTGTAGCAAGGGATAAACATGTTTTTAACCCTTAAATTCTAAAATTTTTGAAGACCAAATAGCTAATCCTTAAACTATATCAAGAATTAAGAACTGAAGTTTAAGATTGCAGATTTATCTATGTGGATTCTTATTTTGGAGTTGTCCTGCAGCTTTATAAGTGTCCCTCTATTTTAGATTTGAAATTTTTCAACACTAATGTTGATGTGATTCATAAGCGTGGGTGTGTATTAAATGTCCTTTTTGGTTACCTGTCTGCTCTATTGTATTCAGATTCTTAGACCATAATTAAGCAGAGTCAGGTATCAGTGTGCCGAGTTTGGCATAGATAATGCAGTTATTTCATCTTTGCCTATCAAAACTTCATAATATTAGACTATTACTACAAATAACTTTTGATGAAACTATTGATACTAAAATGTTCGAAATATCTGCTGTTCCTATTGTAGAAAATAGTACAGGCTTAGTCTAGTTTGTATGTAATTGGTTAATGTTTGATGGATGGCTGTCTATACTCAACTGGGTATGTATATATAATTTAGAAAATACGTATCTGTCCAGACATAAGTGTTAAGTAAACTTTTTTCTTCCTCTTCTATATAATTTGTAGCTCATTTTTTTTCTTTAATCCTTTCATAACTTGCTACAGCAGTTTGAATTTCCTGAATGTTTATGTTTCAACAGATGGCTCAGAATACATATTTAAACACCATTAGATGTATATATTTTTAAAGTAGAATAAATAATGGAAAGGGACTTGATATACAAGTTTATACTAAAATTTCAACTGTGTGAAGATACATTAGAAGATATTACTTTGCTAATACTCTAAACATTCTTTTTTCTATTAAAAGAAACGGTTTATGGTTCATAACTTTAATTCTGGCTTCATGATAATCAGCTTTGAAAATACAATGGACCGAAGAGCAATTTTATTCTTTGGAAGATTTCATTTAAATCTCTGTACTATCCATTTTTTCTTCAGTTTGTAAATGTGTAATATTGATCATTAACTAGGACAAAGCAGACCCTATGACTATTGTTTTCAAGAATTAAATTAATATATAAATAATTCAAAGAGGTCTTTCATTTACTTTTGAAGAGAAAACTTGCTCTGAACTGATATTGGTTCTGTAGGTTTGCACCAATCCTTGTAGAATAAAAATATCTTTCAACAAACTGACTTGTTTCTATTAGGATTTAAGCCCTTTTAAAGATCCGTATCAGCTTGCAGCTTGGAAGTACAGTTCTGTAGCGAGAGTGCTTATTTATTTGCTATTTCATTGAAGCATCTTAGGAGCTGGCCAAGAAAGATAAAGAGAAATACAGGTATTCCCCACTTTTCGAAAGTTCACATTATGCCACTTCGCTTTTGCAAAACATCTACATTAGATGTACCTGTCTTCACTAACTGAAGGAAGTCTGAAAAGGACGTCTTAATGAGAAAACGTGAAAAGTGAAAATAGCATTCAGCATTTGTTTTGCAGTGAGCCATTACAGTCAGCAACCACCTAGAGCAGCAAGAGTGGCATTGCTTTTACTATATATTAGTGCTATTTTAGGTTTTATGTGTTATTTGGTAGCTTATTTGGGGGGGGGGGTCTTGGAATGCTTAAGAAAATTTCCATGTAAATTAATGATAATTGATTCTTTGTGTTACCCCATTTTGGCTTATGAAAGGAAAGCTCTGCTTTCAGATAGCAGAGGAAAGCTGTACCACCACTAAACTGCCTCATTTTTAACCTCCTTTTTGCATTTCTTACTGAAAGTTTACGTGAAAGGCAGTTAAGCCTTCAGTTCCCTTAAAAGCTCTTGGTTTTTAAGTACATTAGCCTTAGGTTGTATAATGCAAAGTTGCTTCATTTTTTTTTTTCTTTATAATGTAGTCATAGGGGAACATGGTTCTTGAGCACAATTCTACAAAAAAAAAGGAGAAATAACAGTAAATATAGATTAACATTTATTGAATGCTTACCCTGTACCAGGCGGCGGGCTGAATATTTTACTTGTATTGATATATTTCATCACTGCAATAATCCTGTGAACTAAGGATATTCCTGTTTTACAGATGAGGAAATGGAGGCATCAAGAGGCTAGGAAACCTGCCCATATCTCAGTAATTAGCAGAGTCTGCATGTAAACCCTGGCAGTCTGACTCCAGAGCCCTCTTTCTCAACCACCATGCAGTACTGCCTTACCAGCACTAGTTAAGGATGGATATCTGAAGGCTTAGCCCTCTTGATTTCAGTGTAGCTCAATAGTGCTTTAGGGTCAAGTTCAAATCATGGTTGTGTGACCTCACTCAAATGACTTTATTAAACTGTATATTTCTGTTTCTTCATCTATTACTAAGATAATATCTACTATAATGAGAATATAATGAAATGTTTATAAAACACTTAAGATCAGTACCTATCATACATAAGCATTTAATAAATAGTAGCTATATTTTTATCACTGGTCCAGTTCTAGGCTTTTGATCTTTTTTTAGTTTCTAAAGTTCTTACTTTGGCCTCTACTCATATGGTTCTTAAATAATAGGTGACAAATATGAAAGTGTTTGAACACCTGTCATGTACATAACAGTCTGCTAGAAGATTCAAAAATGAATAAGATAATCTGATCTCCAGGAACATAACTTAGTTGGAGGAGACAGGATAGCTACATGAGCAACGAATGTTATGTAGTAATAAAGCAGAATGGACCTGAAAGAGCTAAGACATTTACAAGTTACTATAAGAGGAAGAAAATATATAGGTCAAAAGACATATATCCCCAAAAAGTTTAATGTCTGCCCACGGGAGAGCAAGAGGGGAGTCCGTGGTTGTCTATGTAGGCCAGCAATTGAGAAAAGTAATCTCTGATTCATGGATATGGATTATTAGCTGGTCCCTGTCACTGCAGGTGGGAAAAACATGTTCTTTAACTTCATCTCTTCTCCATCTTGGTTGTTTCCAAATTCTGAAGGAAAATATAGGAATATTATCCCTAACCCATCAAATGTACTATTTTTCAGTCCGCATTTCTCCATTTTATCCATAAGCTATTAGGAATGATCATATTCCTTGCTGAAAATAAGATAAAGCAGAAGTAACACTGTTCTGGTATCTGTTTTTAGTGCTGGTAATTATTAGTGATTACTATTACTGTAAGAAGAAAAGGCAACACAAGAATTTGAGAAAAAAATGGTTCAAAGAGTAAAATCCACTCAATCCCGCTATCCATTTTGATGTATTTCAGTTATAGATATATGTATGTTTTTTAATTGTTATTGTCTATAATAAATTTTTAAATTTTAAAAAATTTGTGAAATGTGTCATAATGCAGAAGAGGGTATTAAACATGCACAATTTAAAGAGAAGTAAAATTATAAAGCACACACTAAGGTAACCAATGCTCAGTTTAAGAAATACATTGCCAGCACCATAGGAGGTTCCCATTTATCTTTTCCTGATCATATCCCTGAATTTCACCACTAGAGATAACCGATGTTCTGCTTGTAATGAAAATAATTTTCTCAGTTTTCTTTATATTTTTACCAGTTACGTAATACTACTTTTCAAAATAATTTCCAAACATCACAAACTGCTACTTCTGTAAATACAAAATCTATGCTTGAATGTTTTGGCAATGTCAAATTTCTATCAGCCTTTGTGTTACCTCTTCGTCAGCCGGTAATAGTTCAGTATGGTCTGTCAACCTCATTTTGAATAGTACTGATATCTGCATTCCTGAAAAATATTTTAGAAAAGAAAATCAGGTACAAGTAAACTTTAATAAGTAAAATTTAATGGAGTATTGAATTGTATTTAGTAAACAGAAAATTACATGTACTCTTCTGTGACTTTGTTTTGCCAAGTCATCTATGTGGATGCACATGTCTGTAGTTCTGTTAGTGTGTAGTCATGTTAGTACACCACAGTTAAATGTTTCTCTTAACTATGATGACATTTAGGTAGTTCCATGTTTTTTTGCTATTATGAGTAAATCCACTGTGAGTATTCTTGTATATGTGTATACTCTCTTGAGAATACATCTAGAAGTGGAATTGTTTGTTCATAAAATATATCTTCATGTTTACTGGGTAATATCTGACCTTTCTAAAACAATTGTACTAATTAGTATTATCACCAGCAGCATTGGAAGTTTCCACATTTGGTACTGTCAAACTAAATCTTTTGAAAACCTGGATTAGTAGTATTACAAAGGCAGCACTTAAGAATTTGAGAAATAATGGTTCAAAGAATAAAACCCACCCATAATCCCACCATCCACTTTAATATATTTCAGTTATTTTTATAGATACATGTACATAATAAAGAAACATACCTCACTGTTGCTTAATTTGTATTCCCATGAGGTTATTTTTTTTTTTCTTATGGGTTTATTTACCATTTCAATTTCCTCTCGTGAAGTCCCATTTTCCCATTTTTATTTTCCCATTTTTAAAATTCGGATTGTTTGATTTTTTTTTTTTTTTTTTTTCATTAACAGGATTTCTTTATGTATTCAGGAGACTAATCCTTTGGTTATAACTATTTCAAATATCTTTATTTTTCTGCTCCTAGTGAAATGTATCAATCTTTTCCATATATGTTTTTATGTATTATTTAAGAAATATTCTCTATCCTGAGGTCATGAATATCTTCTGTACTGTGTATAATTTTGTCTTCTACTTGAATTGAGTTTTGCATGCGATAAGGTAGGTAACCAGGTTTTTTTTCAATTTGTTGGAAACTTATCTATATTGATTTGTCCTGCCAATTCTGTCATCTATTAAGTGCCCATATTTACCTGAGTTTATTTCTGGGCTCTCTATTCTATAGATAGCTTGTCCATACACCACTAACATACTGTCTTAATTACTAAAGCTTTTAAAATTCTTGGTACTTGGTAAAACAGGTCTTTATACCTTGTTCTTCAAGATTTTGGCTGGCATCTGTCTTTTGCATTTTTTTGTATAAAATTTAGAATTAGCACAAGTTTCAAAAAAACAATATAAAACTGTTAGGATTTTGATTGGAATTGTATTTAATTTGCGAACTATTTCTTCTATAAGAGTGCATTTTCCAGTGAATGAACATTTTTCCATTGTTAAGGGCTTAGATCTTTTGATAAAATTTTGTAATTTTCTTCACAGAAGTATGCCATATATTTTGTTAAATTAATCTTGTTTATATTCTTATGCTATTATAAATGTTATCTTTAAAATTTTACTTTTTGTTGCTGGCAATTGATTTTTCTCTTCAGCAACCAATTCTATTAATTTATCTGAAGAATCTTTTGGACTTTCTGTGTATGCAATTGTATCATCTGCAAGTGAGGATAGATCTGTTTGTCTTTCTATTCCTCAAATCTTTAGTTTTTCTTTATTTTTCTTGTATAAGTACGTTTGCAGGGACCTCCATCCAGTAAGATGTTGAATATAAGTGGGCATAATAGGCATTCTTGTTTCGTTCCTGTTATCTGGGAATGCTTCCAAGATAGCCTGTAAGCAATTTATGGTATTTTTATTAAATTTATAAATTTTCCTTCTATTCTTAGTTTGCTAAGAGTTTTTTTTTTTTTAATTATAAAGGCTGTTGAATTTTATCAAAAGCTTTTTCCATGTTTATTGAAAAAAAAAACTTTGTTTTTCTACCCTTATTCTCTTAATGTGGTCAGTTACATGGATTGGTTTCCTATGGTTAAGTCATCTTTCTTTTCTTGAGGTAAAACCAACTTGGAATGATGTGATTTGTTTGTTTTTAATAGCTGGATTTGGTTTAAGATTTTTGCTTAATATCAAAATTATATAGCCTTATAAAATGAATTCAAAAGTGGCTTTCCCTATTTTCTGGAAGGGCTTCTCTAAGATGTGCATTACTTCTTCCTTAAATTAGAAGGAAATTAGAAATCTTAGGTGATATGTGTTTGGGGCCTGGCATCTTTACGGGATACTAATTCAATTTTATTATTATTAATAAAAGCATCTCCTCTTGTGTATTATTGGTAAACTGAATATTCCCAAGAATCTGTCCATTTTATCTACATTTTCAAATTTATTAGCAGTGTTTTTCCTGTTCTCTTTTTAACGTATGCCAGATCTGTAATTATGATGTTCTTTTCATTCCTGATACTATTATTTGTAGCATACAAATTTATAATACTATTTATTATATAAGATATTATTTGTATCTTCTTATTTACTTGCCCAGTCTTACCAGAGGTTTATCACTTTGTTTTTTTTCAAAGAGCAAATATTTTGGTGGTTTTCTTGTTACTTTATTGTCTGTTTCATTTATTTCAGCTTTTTATGATATTTATTTTCCTACGTTGCATTTTTCATTGTATTTCTATATTGTAATGGATATTTAGCTCAGATTTTCAACTTTCTAGTCTAACATATATTTAAAACTATAGATTTCTTTCTAAATCTTACTTTAGCTCTATGTTAGTTTTCTATGCTATGTAACAAATTACCACAAATTTACCAGTTTAAAACAGCATATTTTTATTATCTCACAATATCTATGGGTCAACAGTCTGGGCAAACTTTAGCTGGAGCCTCTGCTCAAGATGTCACAAGACTAATCAGGTTGTCACCTGAAGTGTGACATCTGGAGCTTGGTATAGTCTTCCAAATTCATCAAGTTGCTGAAAAAATTCAGTTCTTTGAAGCTGTAGAACTGAGGCCCTTAGCCACTTGAGACTTCCTCACTCCATAAGCAGTTCACATCACGACTGCTGCTTTGAGGCTAGCAGGAGACAGAACCTGCTGCTTTGCATCTCCGTCAGGGAAGTCCTGACAGGATTCCCTGATTAGGTCAGAGTCACCCAGAATAATCTCCCTTCAGAGTCAACTGAATAGGGACCTTGATTGCAACTCCAAAATCTTTTCACCTTTGCCATATTCTGTTGGTGAGAAGCAAGTTCTACCCACTCAAATGTACAGATACAGGGATGGGGAGGGATTTCAGGGGCCATCTTAGAATTCTGCTTATCACAAGCTCCATTCTACAAGTCTTGATATCTATTTTAGTTATTAATCAATTTCAGAGACCTTCCTGATTTTATTCTAATTTGACCTGTAGATATTATTTGAATTATATTTCTTAATTTCCAAACATAAGTATTTCAGTTCTCTTTTATTATTGATTTCTAATATAATTACAGCATTGCAATCAGCGAATATATTCTCTATGACTTAAAATTCTTTGAAATTTATGGGCAGTTACTTTAGGACACCATTTACTTTATCAAATGTCATGTATTTTTGTATCTTTAAATATATGTCATTTTTATTGTTTTATGTAGTCAATTTTCATTTAGATTTACCCATATATTTGCAACCATCTTTGCTCTCTGTTCCTTGCTGTGCTTCTGAGTTTCCATCTGGAATAATTTTTCTTCAGCTTGAAGAATACATTTAAAATTTCCTTTAGTGCAGGTCAGCTGGTGGCAAATTCGTTTCAGACTAT